CGTTGCCAGTGATGTCCTGGACTACTGGACTCAAATGGAGAAGGTGAGGAGGCGCCTGTGATGGGGGGAGGATAGGTTGATCTGTCTAGCTTTTCTCGCTCCTCAGAGTCTGAAGGGCAAGGACCAGATACAGCCGATACAGGCAGACCTCACCTTACCAGTGTCATGGAAGAAGCCTATGTTTTGGGGTTCAATTCTCAATTCTCACTCTGGCCACTTCTGCACTTTTCTGAGCCTCAGTCGTTCTATCTGTGAAATGGGGACAACCTCACTTAAGAAACAAGCAGGTAAAAGTATGTGGTACAGAGTCAGATAATTGTGACCAAGTGCAAAGTTCTAACTACAAGGTCAGCAACTTGATGGTAATGTGAATTCTGACCTTCCACTAATGGGACTGTGAGCCTAACTGGGATTCAGCTCATCAAACTGGGGCTCAACTTCAGGCTGCACTCAGAGGGAGGGGACAGGCCCCCTGCTGGTGCCCCTGAGAACCTGTCACCTAGAGCTCAGTCAGCTGTCCTCCTGTGGGGAGAGGAAGGCCACTGCAGGCCTGGCTACCAGTGACTACTTGGGTGTGGCATTGAGTTCTGTACAGAGAAACCAGTCACTGCAGCCTCTAGAGTTTACAGGTCTCTTCAGAAGAAACCAAGTGTTTGAAACCAAAAGGGGACCCGTGATGTCTACCCCAGGGGATGGAGTGGACAATGGGTGGTATTCCAGCTACTAAGTCCCAGCTGGTGATGATCACAGTGTGAAAAGTTACCCAACATTATCTTTTGTACAAAGAGAGAATTCACCTGCAATGAATCAATAAAAAATTTTAAAGAATATTAGGCAAACCTTTTCTACATGAAATAAACTCATGTGTGAAGGTTTTGTTTGTTTTATTGTGACTTGGATGTCTTTATTAATCCTCACCCAAGGATATTTTTTCCCATTGATTTTTTAGAGACAGGGGAAAGGAATGAGAGGAAGAGGAGAGAGAGAGAAACATTGATGTGAGAGAGCCACATCCATTGGTTGCCCTGACATGGTCTCGGAATGAACCTACAATTGAGGTACCTGCCCTTGGCTGGAAATCTAACCCTAGACCCTGCACCCCACAGGCCTACGTTCTAACAACTGAGCCAAACCTGTCAGGGCTTTTTTTTTTTTTTTTTTACTAGAGGCCCAGTGCACAAATTCGTGAATGGGGGGGGTCCAGCTGGCTTGCCTCAAACGGGGCCAATTGGGACAAGCTGGCCTAGGGAAGGGGTTGGGGTGGTTGGCGGGGGAGGCTGATTGGGGGCTGAGTGGGCCAGGGGAGAGGGGACACAGGCAGTTGGCTGGCTGGCCCTGCCCCTGGTGTAACTCTGGGTTGAACTCCCAGTTGAGGGGACAATTTGCATATTAGCCTTTTATTACATAGGATAATTCTATAAAGTGTTTTCCATTACAATTGATATACAGTGTTTTATTCGTAAATCATATAAATGTCTAATCATTAGATTGTACACCTGAAACTGTGTTCTAGACTTTTCTTATCACCCCAAAAGCTTTCTTTTGTCCTTTCTCAGCCAATCCCCTCCCACTGCCACTCTGGGCCCCAGGCAACCACTGACCTGCTCTTGCACCCCTTTGTGTCTGGTTTCTTTTACTCAGCATGTTTTTGTGGATTAGTTGTTTGTGTGTTTTTTTCTTTTTCTTTTTTTTTTTGGTAATCCTCACCAGGGGATTTTTTTTCCATTGATTTTTTTTTTAGAGAGAGTGGGAGGGGGAGGGAGAAAGGAGAGGGAGAAAGAGAAACATGGACATGTGAGAGATACCTCCATTAGTTGATATGCAGCCGGGATCAAACCTGCAACCCTGGTACTTGCCCTTAACCAGTAATCAAACCCGAAACGCTTTGGTGCAACGGCAGACACTCTAACCTAGCCGTGGGCAAACTACGGCCCTCGGGCCAGATCCGGCCCGTTTGAAATGAATAAAACTAAAAAAAAAACAACACCGTACCCTTTTATGTAATGATGTTTACTTTGAATTTATATTAGTTCACACAAACACTCCACCCATGCTTTTGTTCCAGCCCTCCATTCCAGTTTAAGAACCCATTGTGGCCCTCGAGTCAAAAAGTTTGCCCACCCCTGATATAAAATAAAATGTTTAGTTTTTTAGCCTAGATTTTCTGGTATGTTGTTGTAATTTTATTCCAGAACTTTCCTAATACAGCTGGAAAACAATTTCTTCTTTTACAGAGAGGAAGGGAGAGAGATAGAGAGTCAGAAACATCGATGAGAGAGAGACATCGATCAGCCGCCTCCTGCGCATCCCCCACTGGGGATGCGCCCGCAACCCAGGTACATGCCCTTGACCGGAATCGAACCTGGGACCCTTCAGTCCGCAGGCCGACGCTCTATCCACTGAGCCAAACCGGTTTCGGCCAGTGTTTTATCTTTTAAAACTGTTTCTCAGTATCCCTTGGTGTCAGATCTCACCCCATTAAACTTTAAGTTTCAAATCCAGTTTAGGATCTAACACAGTCTGAATTCTGAGCAACAGTTGCTTTCTTCTTGGTATACCAGCTTTTCCATAATTTTTAAAATCCTGCAGAAATCTTGTGTACTGTACTAGGCTCCCTGTATAAGCAGTGCACAAATTGTCATCAATACTTGTTAATATTCTTTAACCTGTTGGGCAAGAATTTTTTTTCACAGCACTGATTTTTTAAAGTTGTAGAGATACACATGTATATGCACATATATTAACCTTATCTCAGATGAGCTACATTCTTTGGTTCCAATCATCTGAGTCAAAGGATCATGTTTGTGCATCTGTGAGGGGGAAATTGCTGGA